TCCTGATGATGTGGAGGGTTTAGATGCTTCAGCGGCACATGTTGCGAATCTCTTGACAACTGAGCCTGCTGATAGTATGTTCTACTCTCGAGTGTTTCAAGAATATGCGGTTTAACAAGAAGAGAATTTAACATAAAATTGAAGCAATAGATGCTTGAAAAGAAAGCAAAGAAAAAAAACGACAGTTTTGACCAGTGTTTTTGTTTTGTGTGCGAAGTTTATAATCCATTTTGACCTTTGTATCTTTCCTAGATTCCTTCCCCCGAAGATGTTGTCTGCCAAACATAGATTCTATGTGTTTTCATGTCTCATTTCCTAACTTACTGGGCATTGGTGTCCATCTAATCATTGCAACAAGAGAGAGAGCCCCAATGCCTGTTAAACTCATTAAGTTTATGGAGGGCATCTAGTTTTCTTAACCCATGGTTATAATAAGGTAAATTTATAACATTGAATGAGATTTTTAACCAACCGAGCTGGTGGTCTAGGGATAAGTCGTACTTGTTTAGGGTTGTTCCTGTCTTCCATGGGGTTATCAAGTAGGGTTCGATCGATTCACGGGAGTAACGTTGTTTGTTGTTTGACTTAGGTGGTACTGTGGTGATGAGCTGTCTTTCCGTGTTAGTAGCTATGACTCAAATCGGACATTCTATAGTAAGGGAACCCCCATGATCATGCTCAGAGGGGGTTACTATTTACTGGTCGCCCCTCCCCCCCTTTTCGTTGTTAAAAAAAATGAGATTCTTATATTTATATTTTTGAGACTCTTCTATTTTTGTATTCTTTTTTTTTTATTTTTGTTGTTATTTTGATGGTGATATCCCCATATCCGACTAAATTGTATGCCTTATGCTAATTGAAGCTCAACAAATCGTTATATCAGAAGCTTTTCCTTGAAATTTTATTTTGTGCATAATATTAATGCTTTGAACACCATGATTTAGATGGAATAATTCTACAATTCTAACTTATTGATTTTTATGAAGTTAAAGACTATAGTTTTCAATTTCAACTACTGCTTTTTTCTTCTTGTCTATTTTTACTTTTTGGACTCTTTCTTTGAAGCTTTTCATGACAAAAGCATCCCTATAAACTCCCGAAGTGCTTCGACATCTATTCTTTTGTTTGTTTTAGTCTGTTTTTTTTTTCCAAAATGCTTTTTACATTCCTATTTATTTAATCCCAAGGATTTTGAAATTTCACTGGCCTTATGCTCAAAGGTTTTCAGCCTATGGGGATCGGCAGAACAAATACTACATCCCTTGTCCAGTTACCAGACTTTCATAAACCAATAATGCATGCAATTGTACTTAATGGATGACCTTGAGAGTTAGTGATACTTCAAGAAACTTGAAGACTTCTGATGTGTTTCATGTTCCCTCCCTACCCCTTCCTGTATGTACAAAGACCACACCTGGGTTTTGGTTGGCTTTACTTGTAAAATTCTATTATTATTGTACAGTTAAACTAGGTGTTGGGGGCTTCAGTATGGGTGCTGCAACTGCTCTGTACTCTGCCACGTGCCGTGCCTTGGGGCAATATGGGAATAGAAAGCCATATCCAATTAGCCTAAGTGTGGTTGTTGGTTTGAGTGGCTGGCTTCCATGTTCAAGGTTTGATTTCAGTTCTATGCATTCTCATGCACACAGCACACGCCTGTTGTTGCTAGTACATTGTTGCATGTGAGTAAGCATTTCAAGTCACTCTGGGGCTATTGTTTTCTAGGACTCTGAGGAATCAGATGGAAGGATCACATGAGGCTGCAAGGTGTGCAGCATCCTTGCCCATTCTGCTCTGTCATGGCTCAGGTACTCAGAAGTATTTTTGTTGCTTTGTAGATTCTAAAGAGTACAAAGTTCAATATTTTTTTGCATTTTGCTGTTTTATGATTTGCACATTATTTTACCTAAACTATAGATGAGCCTGCAGCTGAAATAGCGGTTTGTTGTTCCATCAACTTGCTATTTGTAAGTACCACTGGTTGTCAGCTCGGGTGGTCTCTCCTCGTACCCTACTGGAGGTGCAGGCTTTGAGTCCCGTATGACTTGTGCATGTATTCCCCTCCTCCTTCCGCTCAAAAAACAACTATAATTAAATTAATTTAACTAAAACAAAGAAGAAAAGCAAAAAAAATCTTGTGATTTCAATGTGAAATGTTATTTCTTTGCTTTTCAATTAGCTACTGGTTTTAACAGCTTTCTTTGGCTATTTGAATTGATCTAAACCAAACCAAATGTTTGAAATTGCTTTACTGTAAAATCTAGTATAGAGCGTAATTAGGCTGGCACCGCCAGCATTCATTTGCATACGCTGTTGCTGCCTCATCTTACAATTACCAAACTGTTCTTATAGGTGTAAATACAAGCACACATGGACACATGCTTGACCATCTTCTTGGTTATAATCCTTTTATGCATATCTGCTTACATGAATGCTTTCGTCACTTTATTTCCTTATACCCAATTTAGCGGCCTCGTCAAATCCACATTTCACTTTTACAATTTGATTGGTAGAGTTCTCATGTAAATGTTGCAACTTACAATCTTTATTCCATCATGTAACATACATGACTTGCCTCAGCCACATTCTTATGCCACCCCACCACAACAACTGTTTTTGTTTTCAATTTTATGGGAAATAATTACCACTTCCACGTTTCTTAGTCTAATCCTGACTACTGGTTTGAACTGCATAGTTTATAGATTTGCATTTGGTTTGTCTTTGCCTTGCATTCCCTCAATGTACATGAAGCGGTACACTTTAGGTTATCAAGTGTGTATGGTCGCTGCGTGCTACTATTGCATGCGAGTTATAGAGCTCTAATAGAACTTACAGGAGTTCATTAAAATTTGAGATGTTTCTAACAACTAGATCAATATTGGTTTGTTTACTGAGGGCTATAAAGTCTTCAATAACTTTACAATGGAAAGTATGTTGAAGCTGGCCAGAGTAGTCTTTGTCTTGTCTGTAATCTAAAGGACTCCCAATTGCTGAAGTGTTAAAAACTTTTTGAGGAAATCGATAAAAATATGGGACAAGTTTCAACATTCAGAGGGGCACCATAGAACCTTTAAGATATTTAAAAAATAAAAAATAAAAAATAAAAAATAGAACCTTTCAGATATTCAGCACCAAAAAAAAGAATCTGTAAGTTATTGAGCTGTGGCAATGCAGAACATTACTTCTTTCTTTCTCACTGAGCTTCAAAATTAGGATTATGTTCCTCATAGGCCAGGCTTTCATGTTCTAAATTATGTTGTTCCGCCGGAGCTTGATAGTTCTTGGCTATGGTAGCAAGCCAAGTTCGGTTTCCTGGATTGTAAATTACACTATTTTGCAATTTTGTGTCTAGTAGTATTCTAGAATAGGATAAATTGTTAGGCCAACTTGCACTTCTATTGCTGTATGTCTTTTGAATACCATATAATGCAAAGATATTATGATGTAAATCTGTATTCACAGAACATAGATGCAATTATACCTGGAGAAGTAACTTGTCCATTTGTCTTCCCATTTCAGCTGATGATGTAGTGGCATATAATCATGGAGAGAAATCCGCGAAAACCTTAAGCGCAGCTGGATTCCAAAATCTCACATTTCAAACCTATGATGGGTATTTTTTTGTCCTTTGGATTTCATCAACTGCAATTTTGTCCGAAAGAAACAATTTGTTGAGATCTTTATTTTTTTCACACAGGCTTGGCCACTACACCATTCCTGAAGAAACTGATGAAGTTTGCAACTGGCTCACTGCAAGGTTGGGGCTTGATGGGTCGCAGTCATAATCTTGGAAAAAGTTGGTGAGGAAGCATGGGGTATACTTATGGAAGTTTAGCAATAATGATAAATGTAGCTGTAGGGAGTTGATGATCAACTTAGTTTAGTAAATTGGGATGGGGTATGGTATACATGTTTGACATTCCATTCTCACTTGATCGTGTCTTTCTTTTTTTTCCCAAATAAGTGTTGTAACAATTGCATAATTGGTTTGATATCAAAGATCTTTGTGAGTATGATCTGTTGATGCTTTAGAAAAATAGGTTATCCAAGCGTTCAAATTTTTTTTGAAGTACTGATAGTTATTTTTTGCAGTTACATATCTGAATGAGATAGGTATGCTGTTGAAGATCATGACCACATAGAACCAAGGTAACACCATGCCTATACAAGACTTTTCACATCAAATAATGGCAGGAGTCTTGCAAATTGGGTTGTTTTTTTAAATAATTATTTTACATCACGACTACATGAAATATTTGGCAACAATCTGAAACAGTCCAAGCACTTTGAGAAATATGAAAAACTACAAAACAGTATTCCAGGCAAACATTGCCAACATTCAAGTCTTTATTGAAATCAAACACAGAACATTCGTTAATGGGCTTATGCCAACATGTTTCTATGTGAACACTAAAACATAGGAAGTGCACAGAAAATTGTTAGGCGAAGCAATGCAGCCTATGTAAACTAGTCAATACCCACAGTACACCCCCCCCCCCTCTCTCGTTTTACCTCTTCTCCCGCGTAAAAAAAAACTCAGTAACCTCTAGGTTTAGTTTAGAAAGAAATTTATTAATATGCCATAATGAATAGGTGCGGCCTCTCTATATTTCCTTTCCCCTTGTGTATCGCAAGTAACACTTGATTCAACAAGTAGCATTAAAAAATGGACAGAGAGATACAATTGAGGATGAAGTAGCAGCATAGTAGGCTTTCCTTCATCTTTGTAGATCAAGTCCCGGTACAAATTGCAGCTTGGGTTCCTAATAAGAACAATAAGCAACAGCAATAGTTATACAAATGATTAGAAGTCTAAGCAAATATATAATCAGTTACAAAAGGTTTTACAATCCGAACTGGGACATTTTCGGCTGACAGACCATTATCTGCAAATGGTATGTTTTATGCCCATCCTCTTGCTAATAAAGTGACCAAAAATAGTACATTGCAGCTAGATAACCAAATATTGCCATGACTCACCTTAAACTCATTTAAATTGGTCATTTGGGGCTACTGCAACCTTGAAGATCGCTTGTACTCTGAATATCACTACTTTTGGAATCAAGGCATGGCGTTAGAGGTGGGAAAGAAGGAACAGCTTGTAATATAAACTTCCGGCTAGTTCTTAAGCCTGCTGATGAGCTAGAACCAAGCTCATGCAAGCCACCCTTAGGAGGAGAAACTCGCTTCTTATTTGGGGAGCTTACTTTCACCGTATTGGGTGAGGTAGAAACGTCCTTCAGAATCTCAGGAGTGTCATCTTCCATTATGTCATGAAGGTTGTCATCGGAGTCTAGCACCTGGACAAATTTGGTCCCACCAAACCTAGTCATTGGAGTGACTGGTGAATTACGCCACTGAAGAGAACTCACAGACGAAAAATGGCCACTTCCAGGAACCAATTGTGCTCCTGAACCATTTGACCAGTCCCTTGTCATTGGTGACATCAAAGAAGGAATGTCCATTGATGAATGGTTTGACAGCACCATGCGATGGCCTATATTGCAAAGTCCACGAAATATAGGTAAGGATTTTCAAACTGTTTCTGCATTGCAATCCAATTCTGGATCAAAAGAAACTACATCCAGAATCTCTTTACCTGTTTCAAGCGTCATGCCATGATTATCAGAGTTTAGAGGAGATCCGAAGGACTTCCCATAAGATTCTAAGAAGGTGGGATCAGATTCAGGTGATGGGTGGTATCTGCCAGAAGGAAACCGGGATTTTAATGCATCTTTGCCATGGCAAGAGAGTAAAAATAGAGGCACGTAGCCAAAAAGAAATTTTCAATTTGCAAATTTAATCCATCCAGAATAGCTCTAACCATCATATCACAAAGAAATCTTACTTTGAGGACTGGAATGATGGTGTCAGAGGAGTCAAGTCACGAGGATTACAGGGCTCAATGTGCAGCAAACCTTTTTCACTTGGCACCATGTCCAGCCTCTCTTCATACGAGGCATCCAATCTTTCATCAATGGCTTGTTTGTTCACCACATCTTTGCTCATGCCATATTCTGAAAATGCAAATTTCTTGGTAAATAGACGAGAATCTAGTTCATGTAAGAAGCAAACTTACACAGGCCTAGCAAGTCTTTTTTTCACTTGCTTAAGAATTTCAATTGATTGGAACTAAATTTGGTCATTGTATTTTCTGCTGTGAAAAATATTCCCCTGCATTCAAGTCATGAAATCATCAGCATCTCTGCAAGCCACTCCTGAACAGCACTTTGATGAATTAAATGGAGTGCACCACATGTTTGTAGAAGCCACTTTATATAAAATAAAACCACAGAAAGTTCATAGAATTTGACATACATCAAAGGAACTTGTCCTAAAGCAGAGTTCAGGTAAGAATGCTCACAAAGACAAACCATACAACATTTTTGGGAGTTAATCAGAAAGTCAGTTTTCAAGTTTTACTAAGTCACAAGGCTTCTAAATTTCCCTCCTCTCTGAAGCAGAGTTCATTAACTAATTGCATACAAATACTTAAATGGCATACTTATTGTAATCTCCGCTAAATTAAAAACTCTATATCATTATATAGCATGGCTTTCTAAATCGTTATATACATATATTTATGTAAGTGTGTGTGTGTGTTACTGCTGCTTTGACAAGAATAAGCTTAATTAGTTGGTGAAAGCTGAAAGGTGATTGGCAATTATAAGTGCTACAATCTTAATTTGCTTTTCTTTGTCTCTCTATGAAGCCATACAACACATATTATCCTTCAAATTCAAGTAGTTTTGGTAACTAAAGACTCCTTTTTCCCAGTGTTGTTCTCTATCAATCAAAGTGATCTGAGGGGTTTGATGGGACTTCACAATGTAAGAGCAAACCACTAATCATACCCTAAAAGGAAACGGGACATTAACTTGTTTGTCGGGAAGAAATTATATCCTATTAAGACTTGATCCTTTAGTTCTGGTATTCAAAAGAAAGATCACTTATGCCGCGTAGTGATTATTCAAAAGAAAAATCAACAATAACTAAGCAGAGGGAAACACACAAGTATATATTACTGCAAAATTCGCTTTGACAGGAACAGGCTTAAATAGTTTGATGATTTGTACGATAAAAGGCTGAAATGTGATTGACACTTGCTAAGTGCAAAAAGTTAGTTTATCCTTCTAATAGTTCTGGACCTTCTGGTAACTAAAGGCTCATTATGGCCCAGAGTTGGTTCCCATCATTCAAGTGATGTGAGGGATTTGTTATGACCTAATAATGTAAGAGCAAGACACAACTTATAGGCCAAAATGAAATGAGATGTTACATTGTTAATTTAATAGTCATTGCCACTAGTTGTCCTAAATCTTTACATACCAGTAAGACTTGATATATTATTTTTCGTAGTAGAAAGAAAGATCACCTAGTGTTCTGTCCGACAGAACGATCATAGTCAATAGGCATTGCGGTTCATAATAATACTGGTGATTATGTGAAAAGAAAGGCACTCATTTCAATGCTTCTAACATTTTTAGTTAAATCCCAATAATCAAAATCCATCTGTGCGCGATGATTACCGCACAATAAACAAATTGACAGATATCTTCTTTGATGAACTTGAGTTTACTTGAAAAGTCGAAGTTTCCACAACTAGTGAGTGTTTAGAAGCGGTGATGGAACTCCTTACGAGCGATCGAATTGTCGACAAGTGATCGAACTTGGTCCTGTTACTCAGAAAGAAGGATTAGAAGGACGTCAGAGTGTTTTTCGACGTAACCCCTTCGACAATCAAGTCAGTATGTGAGAGAAGGGTAGGAAAAGCACTGTTTTATTGCTTTGGTGAGATTTCGCGTACCTTAAACTTGAGTTTGTGAGAGCTATTTATATCTCTTTGGAGTTAATCATTGCAGATTGCCAAGTTCGGAGTTAATCATGGCAGATTGCTAAGTCCCTTGGAGTGAAAGCTCCTCATTGGCTCATTTGGAAGGCAAATAGTGCCTAGTCCTCGAGCAGTGAGCCTCCTTTTCCTCTTTATAAAAGCTTCTGCATTTAATGCTTGAATCCCGGAGCATTCAATGCTTGCCTTTCTGAGTTCGCCAAGTAATAAATATGTCCCATCCTTTTGAAAGATCATTTAATGTTCCCATTGTGGCTACGCATGCGCAAGGGTATTTTCGTCCATTGCCCTCCAAGAGGTCATGTCATCTGGACTTTGTACTTCGTACAGTCTCACCATTGATTATCAAACTGTCTTCCCTATCACTGACTATCTTGGGAAGAGAAATTAATGATTAATAGTCAATCCTACTTCTAATGTGATGACGCCATTCTTGACTCTTTTGGGAACTTGGCCATTTGGCACAGGTCAAGCACCTGGATGATCGTAAACACCTCGACGAGATGGAGTCTCACGCCGAGAACATGTGTCAGGTAAGGAATTCCTCAGGGGGACTTGAGGCACCAAGGACAGATGTCAAACGATGAAGGTTCCAAGAAACCTTGATGCCGAGGACACGTGTCAAACAAAAGATGTTCCAAGGAGTCCCATGCTGAGGACACGTGCCTCTTCTTGGAGGGTTCAAGTTTTGTACGCCAAGGACACACTGTTAATTGACAAGAGCTCCGAGGAGTTCAACGCTGAGGACACGTGTCAGCTCAAGAAAAGTCCATGAGTAATCATGTCAAGGCCACGTGTCATCTCTTCATTAATTCGTGAAAACGTCCCATCAACTGCCCTCAGCCCTTGATCTTTGTATGGAACCAATGACATAGCAAAGGGAGACGAAAAGGCTTACTCCCTACCTCTTCAAGTAGCCACTTTACTTTCTTTGGGTCATGTGCCCCATTTAGGACGCCTTCTTCATGCCTTGTGCGCAATGATGAGCCTAGTCTTCTTATTTAAATAGAGTCTTTGTCTTTTTCTTCTACTTTCGTCAATTCTGCAACTCAAAGAGCCTTTCAATGGAGTTCCATCGAAGAAGCCTTTATTCGCCTGAAAGCCACCAATCTCTTAGATCCCACCAGAGAAAAAAGCCACCAACCCCTCCTCTATATTAGGATCGTGATCATTTGTGAGTAATTGCTCTTTTCTCTCTCCTAGCAACCATTTCTCTTTTGCTCCTTCTCCTCTCCGTCTTAATTGCATTATACTATCTCTCTATCCTCATTTTTCTTCTTTGTTTTCTTAATATTAACCCTTAGGCCCCCAATCATTAGGAATCCCTCTTTTGAGTCCCTTCCCTGCTTACGCCACGCCAAGACGTCGTCAGAGTACCAATGTTAGGACCGATGAGGCTAATCCCTTTAGACTGAGGAAACATACTATCAAGGGTCGCCAGCAAATCACTAATTTTAAGACCCACTACTCTATTCCCCTCAGGGTTACTATAAATGACTTTATGCTTGGTCTCCACAGTGCCACCATCGGTACCGAGGAGGTCATGCCTTTCTATACCAAAGCCATCATAGAGGGTGGTGTTAGGTTTCCCTTCCATCCCATTCTTCTTTGCTTCCTATCCCAATTTCACCTATTCCCGGAATAGTGTTGCCAGAACACCTTTAGGATAATCATGAGGGTGGTCACTTTAAATGAACGTCTGCACTTGAGCCTCAGCTTGGAGATCCTGTTCTACTATACTTTGGTGAGAATGATGCCACAGCAGAAGTTCTATCTCAAGGCCTAAGACCCCACCATGTATCTCGTGACCCATATTCCAAACTCTGATTAGGGGTACAAAGATGACCTGCTCATCTTCAGTGGCCAATGGGAGAGGAAAGTTGGACCCGACTACACCGACTTATGGTGCCCCAACTAGTGGCAGACTACAAGTACGTCGACTTCTCTCTCTTTTCAGCTTTATAGTCCCACAGTATTTCTATACTTGCTTTTAATGTTGATTCTTTTTGTTTTCTGTAGGAATCTCTGACGTCGAGTCTGTTGCTCGTGCCTCAGCCAACATCATCATGTCTCTGCTTTATTCTTCTCTCCTCGATCTGAGGATCCCTGCCGTGGACTCGAATGTGTCCTAGCGGCGACGGGTCAACTCAATCCTTAGTGGTGGGTGGTATCGAAGGTGGCGCCCTCGGGATCAACATCCCAAAAGGACGAGCCCTTTCCTAGTTAGAAAGAATAATCCTAGAGCCCAAGCCACATCCCTGCTCAACAACACCTTAATCAAGCTGAGAGATAGACGATTAGTTGGACATGGCGATCTCCAAGGCGTCTTTGTCCTCAAGGTTTTGAAGAATGTCAAAGTCTGGCCAAATGTCCCTGCTCGAGGTGCTTTCCTCGACGTGAATGATGGTGGATGGGTCCCTTACTTCTTCGGCGTCGACAACTGTGCCTTTGGCAGCTTCCACCTCGGTTTTAGCTCCATCTGGGTTTTCTTCTAAGTTTTCTCAGAATAATACTAACCACCTCACTCAATCAAAATGTTGGGGGGTTTGGGAGAAGTTTTTGTACTCCAAAGTGTAGTCTAGCAACACATGTAGAGCTCGGCCAAATCCATTGCCCAGGAATTCCTAGGCTATGATAATGTCGCCGAGATTAACTTGATTTCAGATCTCTCCCTTAATGAACTTGAGTTTACCTAAAAAGTAGAAGGTCCCGCAGCTAGTGAGCGTTTAGAAGCAGTGATGGAACTACTTATGAGCGATCGAATCGTTGGCGAGTGATCGAACTTGGTCTTGTCACTCAAAAAGAAAGGTTAAAAGGGAGTTGGAGTGTTTTCCAGCATAACTTCTTTGATGATCAAGTCAGTATGTGAGAGAGGGGTAGGAAAGACATTGTTCTATTACTTAGGTGAGATTTTATGTACCTTAGACTTGAATTTGTGAGAACTATTTATACCTCCCTAGAGTTGATCATTGCAGATTGCAGTCCTTTGGAGAGAAGGCTCCTCATTGGCCCATTTGGAAGGTAGTTGGTAGTGCCTACTCCTTGAGAAGTGAGCCTCCCTTTCCTGGTGATAGAAGCTTTTGCATTTATGCTCAGATCGCCCAAGCATTCAATGCTTGCCTTTCTAGGTTCGCCGAGCAATAAATATGTCTCATCCTTTTGAAGGATCATTTAATGTTCCCCATTGTGGCTGGGCATGCGCAAGGGTATTTCTGTTCATCACCCTCTAAGAGGTCATGTCGCTTTACTTTGTACTTTGTATAATTTCATCAATGGTTATCAAACTGTCTTCCCTACCACTCTGACTGTCTTGGGAAGAGGAATTGATGATTAATAGCCAATCCTGCTTCTAATGTGATGATTCTTGACTCTTTTGGGAACTTGACCATTTGGCACTGGTCAAGTGCCTGGACAATCGTAAACACCACAGCGGGATGGAGTCCTCGGGAGGACTTAAGGCACCGAGTATTGATGTCGAACGATGAAAGTTCTGAGAGACCTTAATGCCGAGAACACGTGTTAAACAAAAGATGCTTTAAGGAGTCCCACGCCAAGGATAGTATCTCTTCTTGGAGGGTCTGAGTCTTGTTAAGCCAAGGACACGTGTCAGTCGAGGAGAGCTACGAGGAGTTCAACGCCGAGGACATATGTCAACTCAAGGAAGCTCCACAAGTCATCATGCCGAGGCCGCATGTCATCTCCCCATCAATTCATGGAAACGTCTCATCACCGCCTATTTGCCAAATCATTACATGTTTCTTAAATGATAGATTTCTCAATGTTAACTCTATGATCCTAAAGATCTTGAGAGCAAGAGAAACAAGAGAAAGAAATGTGAGAGAATGATTTCAAGAGAATTATGACATGAGGGAGAAAGAGAGGAGAAGAGAAAAAGAGAATAGAGAGGCAAAGAGTTCCAAGGAGATAGCAGAATGAACGAAAGAACTAAGCAAAAAAAGAGAAATACAAAGAGGTGTTCCTAGACAATAGGTGACAATAAGTTCACGAGGGAGACAGAGTTTGGAGGAGAGCAAAGTTAGATCAGTCTTAGGTTCTTTATCAAATTTGAGATTTCACAAAAGAAAAGAAAACAAACTTTTTTTTTAAGTATTGAACCTAGAATTCCATTCTATAAAGGAAAATTTAGCTTAAAGTTGGACAAAAATGTTATGTCAGTCTTCACTAAGATTTTTTCTTTCAAGGGGCAATAATGATAATGATGGTCTACCTTTTAGTTCCAAAGTTAAAAATCAACTTTTAGATTAGGCATACAAGGGTGTTCAAATTTCTGATTACCCGCAAATTCCTACCATACTCTATTTTATCCGACTCTATTGATCGACATTTCAAAAGAATTGGGTAGGCCAACGAATTTTTTTTTAGTATTTTGCAAAAAATCGAGTAAAAATATAGAATACTTACAAATTTTCGTATTTCTATCCTACCCTATATATATATATATATATATCTCTAAAAATTAAAATCTAAAAATCTTTATTGATGTTTATAGCTTTCTTCTTGTGTTTTATTATAATAATTATATTATTGAATTTATTGTATTTTTTTTAGTGTTATTAATTTATTGTGTTAATTACTTGATGCAGGTTACTTAATTAAATTATTAAAATAATTCAAAAATTAATAACTAAAAAATATGTGTTCACTCGGTTTTTTATCCGACTTCCTACCCAATTATTTTGGTCAAAATTCGGATAAGAATATACACTTGATCGGGTAGGGTAAGTTAAAAAAAAAAATTCTTATACAGAATATTGAGTAAGAAGATGAAATACAATAATCCCTATGTGTCAGGTAAGGTGAACACCCCTAGGCATATATTAATGGTCAATGAGCTTTCCCCATATCTATTTCATCTAAACATTTGTTGGTGGCAAATGTTGCTTGGCTTCCATCATGAGCATCTTCTATACATCAATTACATTTGATCACCGCAACGTAGACTATGGGAAATGTAGGAGTCTGAATCGTTTATTGAAAGGTGTTTATAAGAGAAAAGGAAAAAAGGCTGCTACACAGTGCATTTGCATTCAACAGTGTGCTGCTAGGAAGTGAACATTGGATATGGACCTAACATCTGGAATATTATTGCACAAAGTGGCTACTCGCTCGAATGCATACTCTCATGCTTTACACCCGAGCACTTTACCTCAACTCGGATGTCGAATTAAATCAAATATCAAATGGGCCTGCCAAAGGACACGATTAGATAAAGAAAGCAATGGCCCTAAAACATATATTTAATTGCTATAGCCAGCACATAGTGGCTATATATGACAACAATATCAAGGACATTAAACAACATTGTTCTGCCTATATACAAGAAGAACAACTGTATTAACCAATTTTATATACAAGAAGAAAAACCACGTAACCAATTTTTACAAATAGGCTCCCCATCTCAACTGACAGAATCCCAACACAAAAATGATTTTGATTAGTCAGGATGTCTCACAATCATGCATATCATCTCATTCTGATACCTTTTTTCTTTTTTTTTTTTCTTCCTATTGTCGATGGCAATACAAGTCAGACACACCGATGGCATTTAAGGAAAGCAGATTCATCATGGTGGGCACTATAAGTCTATAACTATGTAATATGAAACCATAATTGTTGGGGCTTTGCTCCAGTCCGCCACAATGCACCATTTTAAACAAAAGGGAACTCCCGAGGTATTTTATGACAGAAGCACCTAGGCCGAAGAACTACATAACACAATTTTTTATGAGCAAGCCTTATTGAGAAATCAATCAAAGTTACCACTGTCAGCATATTTCGATTACTGACTTTTATTTCTGTCATAAGTGAAGCCCAACTGAATCTTCTAACAAAATAGAATTCAAATAGTATTACCATAAAATGCCTGTCTTATTCTCAATTAAGCAAGTCATTATATACATTTGAAAGGTTGAATTATCATACAAATATTTTGTGTACCATGATGGCACCATTGCATCAAATTTAAGGCGCAACAAGCTCTGCAAGTTATTAGTATTTTTGCACATACTTCCACTTCCATATGTACTACTATAATTTTTCAACACTTTCAATAATTTCTAACATGCTTATTCATATTATGATTCATCCCCAGAATAACAATATTTAGGTAACTTTTCACCAGAACACCTGTAAAGTCTTCATGTTTCCGATTAATGTTTCTCATGTCATACCCACCATTTCAACTTAAATATTCTAATGACATCAACGTTTAGACAACCCCAGGTACAAAGCAAGTGAAAGCTTTTGAATCATGGTTCCCCATCATGGCTATAAACATAAATTTGCGGTAATGTATGTTTTTTGAGGAATATTCTTCTGCACTTCTCATCATATTGAAATCAGTAATAATATACAACTCATAGTATTAATCATTATGGCATAAGAAGTAAAAGATCCCCACATGAAAATTACCTTCCTTCCGGCCATAGACATTCTTGCATCCTTCACACCGGCAACCATCGGAGCATCCAACATTGCCCTTCAATGATAGAGCGGAACAAGTCCAACAATTAAGTTGAAAAGAAGAAAGTTGAAAGCATGGGGATTACTCAAGCAATAACAGACACCATACCTGATAGCACTCACAGTATTTCTTCAAACACATTGATTTCTTGCAATTGCATCCTCGTTTGTGCCTTGCTGAAGAGGGTGTCGAAATGATTCCACCCTCCTGCAGAGGATCAATATGATTGTTGATTGTTTGTTGCTATGTAAAACGTATTCATAAAAGTTTAAACAGAGAGGCTGCAATACCACAGTACTGTTTGCCTGAGGCTCTGTGTTACGCTGTATAACTTTTGGAGCAAATGCAAGTGGATTTCGAGTTTCAATTTGTTCTCGTGTCTCAAGAACTGTATCTTCGTATTCAGGCCTGTTGAAGCACTCTTGGCAAGCACAAGTTTCAGCGCAATAGATTCCAGCAGCAAAACAATCACAGTAACTGCCAGGAAGCAGATTAAAATGACCAACTATTAAAGTGAAAAATCTATCAACTGAAACCTTAAACGCACTTACAGTTTCAAACATTTAGTCTTCTTACAATTGCAACGTTTGCAATCATCACCATCGTTGGTCACTGAACTCTTCTTCCTGCAGGAAATGTATAAACAAATGATTTCAGAATAATATGGACATGCATTGAAATAATTAACAATGAATGATAACAGATATAGGTAGTTGCCTTTTCTTTTTGGGGCTCGATTGGTTACACTCCTCAAGACTGTCAGCATGTCCAGAATTGGACTTCCTCTTATCACCACATGCAGTTGCTTGTTGTTCAATTGGCTTCAAAAGCACATCATTGGTCAAAGGTTGTACACTGTAATGAGACAGAGATCTGGCAGTGCTTGCTGCTACAGAGGGGTGACTTTCATGCCTGCCATCTTCTTTGCTTCCTGTAGTGCTCTCAACAACATTTGAGGAAATCAGGCAATTCTCTAAGTTCTCTGATCGATGACGATTTATCATAGATACTGACTTCTTCCCTCTGACACTCAAATAACCCCTTTCAGCTGATTTGATGCTTGCAATTGCACCAAAACCTGCTGGCATGGCATTAACAATGCTATTTAAGTGCAAGCCAATGCCTGAGGGCTTTGAAACTTTTGAACTACAAGTTCCATCATTTCGAGGAGAAAAAGCCAAAAACGTGGGTTGGGTCATGTTATCCAGTTGCATGTTGGCGGGAGTTGCTGGCACATCTACATAATATGATTCTAGAAACTCTGAGTTGGCAGGGATCACAGATGACCTTGAACTAGTGGTACTATTTGATGGAATCCAAGAACCAGGGCTGTTCACTGTCGTGTTCTGTTGAGCCCCTTCAAATTGAAGACAACGTCTACGCATGCCACAGTGGTGTGGACTGGCCTACATTTACCGTTGCAATTATTCTACTGCTGAATAAAATTCCTAGAGAAGTTTGGTTAAGGAAAAAACTAAAAAGTAAAATCCAGAGGCCAGGATTATTTTTCTGAAACGCTTTTGCATCGAGATATAAGTGTCAAGGGGTTGGACCCAGATGATATAGTGTTGAATGAAAAGTTTAAGATAATGAAATGCTGAAGTTATTTTTGCATACAATAATGGATATACTAAGTTGCATGTTCTAACATAGACTGGTGATGATGATGATGGTTGATCCCAATCCCTTTCGATGTCAAATCAACACAAAAGATGTGAAAACATAGGGAAAACCTCAAAGGGAAGGAGTCATTAACCTTTGTTGCATAGAAAATGATTACTTTCCAAAAAAAAAAAAACAAATGTTAATGATGACACATAAAATTCTGAATAGGGTTTTTAGATAAAAATTTGGGTATAAGTAGTCAAATCCAGTTTTTGCTACTGTTAGTCAACACAGTTTTTTTTTTGTTAAGTTGCATGCGCTGTGGGAAACTATGATGATAATTGAACTGAATCTTGTAGTATCTAACAAGTAAAACAAAAGAAAAAAAGAATACGTGAAGATTTTACATATTATTTAATTATTACTGTCCACAGGGATGGCTACTGTCTTATTGAGCCAAGATATAGCACAAAGAGATGTTGAAAAACTGATTTTAGTCGTCTAAAAAGACTGCGTTAAGATCAAAACAGGCAACATAAGATAAACGTATAAATAGGCTGATTGAAAAGGGAAAAAATTAATAATTAGAAGACCCACCCCTTACTAATAGACAAGGATCAAACAAATGTATCGGTGTATAGTTTCAGTCAACTCAAAAACGGAAACGTTTTTGAAACGCAGTGGAAACTGAGAAAAAGTTTAGAGACATGTGAAAACAAATGGAAACATAAATTAGCTTAATGATTGATCAATTGAGCATGTTTATTGTTTTAATATCCTTTTGTACTGCAAAATATCAAGGTGGAGAAAAAATAAGGTTAATATGAGGCAGAAGGCATTTCAATTAATGTTAGACACTTCATTTTCATCAAATAAACACATTTACATGAAATAAAGGTCTATTAGTTCGAACAGATGATCCAATCTAAGAAAAAAAGTAAAAATTTATTTCCAAAACATTCTAAACGATGGCATTCCGAAACATTCCGACTACCACATATCAAAACACGTCAAAGCATACCGAAACACCTCGAATATTTAATTACTCATTCGTTTTGATTTTCATTGGAAATGGAGACCTTTTGGCCATTTTAGAAGGTAACATAATGAAGATGGTTTGCAACAAAGCTCTAAATTCCTACCATATTGATAGCTCCGTTGATATATTGGACATCTAATAGAATATCATACCTTGGGATCACGAAGCATCAAGTTCTCAACTGGTTCACTTGAGAGTGCTCTAGTGGCTTGAACACAATCTTTGTACTCAACAATCTGCATGGATTCTAAAAGCAACTGAGAGCTACAATCGGATTCAACTTTATGGCCAGCTCCTGCATCCTGCATTTTCAAATCCTGTGATCTACCATGACAAAAATTTGTATGATCATTCTTAGTTTTTCTTTTCCAAATTTAGAACAATATTTCTTTTAAATCAGCAGTTACCTCAGTCGCTGAATGCTCATAATAATGTTTGTCTAAAGCATGGTCATGATGCTCAACTTTTGGGCATACGATAGACGGCATATCACCAACTTCATTTTCTTTTTCTGCCTTACCAGGTGCTGTATCAAATGGTGACTTTTCTTGACATTTCTCTACAGCTTGATCAAAGATGGCAGGAGATGCACCCAATGTCATCCTGTCATCTTTTGTCACATCATATTTTTTTTCCACTTCTGTTATAGAGTCCCTTGAATCTGCTACACCACTTGATGATTTAGGGACATTGTCAGATTGTTTTGAAGTTAAATTTTCAGAATGATTTAACTCCACACAGTCCACCTCCATATGATCAGCCAAAAATTCATCCACACATCCAGGGGGACTACCACATTGATCGTCTACGGAGCTGCTATTATCACCCTCCTCGGTGCCAAAAATCAACCCACAACTCAATTTGGTATCAGATTTCCCAGATTCATCTACACCTTTGGCAATATTTATGGCCCTATCATCCTGCTGAGATAATTCTGAACCGGATGGTTGAGTGCATTGAGGCCTGAAAAAAGTTCAACATCTCCACCTAATCAGTTCTTGAATGTGGATTTTCTTCAATCCGAAAGCAACACTCCTAAAGCATACTTCAAAATATATCAAACCTTTTTAGAAAACTTGATTGGCGGTGTGGATGGATTCGAGGTGAAGAAAATACAAGGGGAGGAGAATTAAGTCCTGGGAAACTCTGTGCAACTGGTGCTGCTTTGACAGGCTTTAAAGGAGAAAGATTGCAGATGTAACTGGAGATAGGTGAATCCTGAGATTGAAGGAACAAATATGAGCTAGGAAACCACGGCCAATGGACTTAAGATACAAAAGATCTAACAAGAAGCAGTTCACTTGCCAGCACTCACTACATGTTTTACCCAAGAAAAAAGCAATTAAATACCAGTAAAAAATTTCCCCCCTGCATGGCACCCCTCTTACATCAATATCTACATTGTAGTCATTTATTTTCATATTTTTATCACTTGTAGCAAAAACATATCCAACACTTTTTCTTCAGACATGGGATACAAAGTAATATGACACTAAAATAGAATTTACTTGCTGAAAATTTGGGTGAAAATCAAATAAGGGAGAAAATCTACTTCTTATATCCATTGCTAAATTGCTGATTAAAATACAGAGTGTTCTCAAGGAAAAATTAATAGGTCAGCTTTAGTTACAAGTTCCTATGAACCAAAATACAAGAAGCTCCTAATCATCCAAAGGGAACAAATGACTTCTAAAGTTTTCTTCAGAAAAACTCAAAAAGGTGTTTTACAATTGATGACTGAATGAAACTGATTTTAGCTATCTCATTCAGAAATGAAATTATACAAATGCAGAGAACAAAAAATTTTCATTTCCTTCTCTTTTCCACAGTTTGTCCAGCAGCCAAACATACTCTCAAATCATAATTTCATAAAGTCAATCAGTGGTATCCTTTCAGTAAAAAATTTACAGGCTGACGAAATCAGAAGAATTAACCAATTTATTGTCACCCTTTATTGAAACCCCTCATCAACCTTTATGCTCAACACCCACTTCAAATCACAGCCCACTAACAAAATCAGGCCATATTTGAACCCTTAATAGCCTAACAACTAACAATTCAGTGCCACTACAAATCTACAAGCTAACCGCATTATCTAACAAAATTCTAAAACATCAAATTATCATTTTACTAGCTGAAATAGGAAAGGTTGTAAATGGAAATCTGTTCATTAGGTCTCTCGTGAAATTGTGCGGTAAAACAACGGAGACATTTCAATGTCTTGTACTGTTAGCATGAGGGTTGAGTCAGTTCTTCCATAGAACCAAAAATAACAAACTCCAAACCATCAGAAGTTAAAAAATAACTCTCATCTTCTATACTTTTTTCAGCAGAGCAAAAAAATCAACTCAACAAATCAATGTAAAATTATATGGCTGAACAAATTTAAGTTTATCCATTTCCTTTCGAACCGAACATTGATAAACTCAGAATGTCAAATCTCATTTGCTTTTCTCCTCTTCAGTGTTCTAGCAACCATATACATTCTCTAATAAGAGCTTCATTGCCATTCCTCTTGGTAATCAATTAACAGTTTGCATCCATCAACAATGTTAAACAATCCTCAATTACACCATAAAATCAGTAAATTACCCTCAACACCCCCTTCAAATAAAAATCCAACCAACGAAATTAGGCCCAAAAATGACTCATAAACCCCAACATTTCACTGCCACCAAAGTCCAAACCCTAAAACCATTCTCCAAACAAAACCTTTAAATCCTACCTCTAAATCAATGCACTTGAACAATAACAAACAGCCTATACCCGCATCAATTTGATAAAAACTCATTAACAAAAACTTCACAAAACTAAAATTTGCATAAGATCTTCAACCCAGAAAACGAGTCCACACAACATCTTATAAAAAACACAGGTTTAGTACATTTTACAGAGAAATCCAATAAACAGTAATGTATCCTTAGATTCACGAATATGACAAAGAACACAAAGAAGGAAGGTGTACTTGGACTGCCACAGGGTACAATGAAGAAGTGGTGGCGGCGATGGTGGTGGTGGTGGGTTTGGTAGATTCAGGGGAATCCATAAAACGAGGCCACACAACATCTTAAAAAACACAGATTTAGTACATTTTACAGAGAAATCCAATAAACAGTAATGTGCCCAGAGGTACACGAATATAACAGAGAACACACAAAGAAAGAAAGAAAGTGTACTTGGACTGCCACAGGGTCCAATGAAGAAGTAGGGGCGGCGATGGTGGTGGTGGGTTTGGTAGATTCAGGGGAATCCATGACGCGAAACCTAATCCTACCCTTAAAGTTCACTTTTGGCATCCTTTTTTTTTACATTCACTTTCTCTCTCTTACTGATCTACTGAATCTGGAAACTAAAAGTGAATGTGAGGATGGATGATGATAAAAAAAAATTGTGTAGATTTTAAATATTTATTTCTCAATATATGAAATTTTCTTTTATACTGTAGAAAATAAATAACAAAGAAAGTATGAGAATTTCCAATTTCCAAAGAAAAAGAAAAAAAGAAAAAAAGAAAACGTGAGCGAAAAAAAAGCGGGTTTTTAAATCAGTGAGGGTTGGGCGGGAAAATATTAGATTTTTGTGGCTACGAAGGCGGTTGTTGTGGGTTTGGGTCTGTGTAAGTCCATTAGAGAGAGTTTGACCCAATATGCTTTCGAGTTTCAGTATCTTCTTGTAGGTCGGTTTGGGCTTTTTTTTTATTTTGAGAAAATTTCGGTTACACCCTTTCCAATTTACTATATTTTCAAGGACGTCTATTATCTAAAATATCACTCAAATTCTTTTTAATTTACATTTAAACATCACTAACACCCACCCTAGTTTGTTAAACCACCATTTCTAATAAAAATAAATTATCTAAAATACAAAAATTACTCTTACATAAACTCCAAATAATCTTTCTACATAAGATTCGATTAAAAGTTATTTTTTTACATATTAAATTTTAAGCTGATTAAAATATTTTTTCTATTTATTAAAATTTGAGCCGATTAAAATTCGATTTGAGCTAATTAAATTTTATTTTTTTTACGTATTAAAATTCGAGCCAATTAAAATTCATTTTTTACGTATTAAAATTCCAGCTGATTTAAGCTCTACTTATGTTATTAGCACTGATTAAAATTTGTTTTAAGTCAATTAAAATTTATATTTTTTCTTAATAAAATTTGATTCAAGTTGATTAAATTAAAATTTTTACTTATTAAAATTCGAGTAGATTAACATTTATATTTTTTTATGTATCAAAATTCAAATCAGTTAAATTTCAATGCGAGTTGATTAAAATTTAATTCGAGACGATTTAAAATAAAGTTTAATCAACTCAACTAGAATTTTAATAGAATTAAATTTTAAAAAGTAAAAAAAAATATAATTTTTAATCAACTCAAATTTTAATGTTTAAAAAATAAATTTTAATTAACTCAAATTGAGTTTAATCGGCTAAAATTTTAATACATAATTATTTTTAAAAAAAAAAGAGGTCTCATTGAAGATATAACTATATAGAGGGATGTAGATAAAGTTTTTCATAAAATATATCATTAATAATTTAGTAAAATTACATTTTAGTTAATACTTTTAATCTGATAAGGATGTCCGTGAAGATTCAAAAAATAAAAGAGGTATCCATAAAAATATAATAAACTAAAAGGAATGTAACTGAAATTTTTTCTTGGGGGGGGGGGGGGTAGTTCACTTTTTTAATTGAGTCAAAAAAATTGTTCAACTGCGGCTAGTTCTAAGTCCGAGCCGGGTTAAAAACGAATCAAATTCAAATAATTCAACTATTTTGCATATAAACAAACCGAGTTTTGTCAGTTTTTATTTTTTTAAATAAGCCTAAAAGAGTATTCAATCTCGGTAGAGTTTGAGTTCAGCCTTATAAGAGTCGAAGTCATTAATGTTGAATGATCCACTAAAAAAATATATTTAATAGAATATGAATCTATCATTTCTCAAACAACACACATCACTTGTGGTTTTTTTCATAAATTGAAAACTCTAGATATGTGTAGTAGCAAAAACAAGTACAAAAATTATCTAAATTTTCGATGATTAATGTCTATACCTTATCAAATAGGACCACAAAAAAATATTTTATTAATGCAATACTAGTTATACTGTCGGTTAGAGGTGTCAATCGTGTCGGGTTAAACGGTTATGTGTCGAATTAAACGGGTGACGGATGAAAAACATACAAACTCATACACGACACGTTTAATAAATGAATAAAAAATTTAAACACGAACCATTTAATAAACGAGTAACACGACACAACTCGTTTAACCCATTTAAAAATAAAAAAATCAAAATCAAAATTTATTATTTTAATAAATTTTTACTCTCTATTTTTTTTTTTCCTTCCAAGTGTACTTTCCTCAATTTGAAGAGCTCCATCTAAAGCCCCACTCTTTCTGGCGACGTGGGATTCAAAGAAAAGGCAACTTAATGCCTCAAACTGATTTCTTTACTGTTTTTTTTAAATGATTTTTTTACTGTTTTTTTTTACTCATTCATTATTTTATATGTATATAAAACAATTATTAATTTATTATTATATTAAATTTATTTAAACGGGTAAATGGGTTGACATGTCTCACCCAAACACGACCCGTTTATTAAACGTGTTTAACGGGTTAACCCGTTTACCACCCAAACCTGCTTAATTCGTGTCAATTTATGTCGGTTAATCGTATCGTGTCGAATTTTGACAGGCCTAACTGTCGGATTAAATTTGAATTAATTATGCTTTACACTGACCTAATCTATTTATTATTTTTATCAAAAAATACAATACCAGTCATATTGTCTATCATATTAAATTTGGATTATTTATGCTTTATACAAAGCTAACTCATTTATTATTTTTATCAAAAAATTATTTTATTTTTGAGTTCTATCAAAAGCTACTCAACTTTAACTCATTAATTTCATGTGAAATTTGTGTTGTGTTAATGTGTGTGTGGAGGATTAGGGTAAAGATTTGGATACATATCCTCTATGATATAGCAGGTAAATAACCCTTATCAAAATAGATAACTAGAGATGAAGTACTAATTACCCAGTTAGTTAAAATAAATATTAATTAAATTGTCGTTTTCCTTAGTGGATTTGTTGCATGGTGCTAAGACTAGGGCTTTGACTACCAGATTGAAGTTCGAGTAAGTAGGTAGTTTTTTCTTTCTTTTTTTTTTTTTTCGTCAAACACTATTACAGGACAACAAAACTTAAACCCATGACTTTAAAATCTAACAGTGGGGACAGTCACTATTAGCTAGACAAATCACAAACCTTGTACATAAGTATTTCATAGGCTGGCCGGACACAAGTTCAAGGGCAAGGTTTTTGCCACAACTTATTAGATCAATTATAATGCTACATATAACTCTTAGGGATAGTACAGTGAACTTGACTTTTGGTAATTTAAGAGATTTTAAATTCAATATTTTTTATATTCCTAAGGGGCAGCCATCTTTATTCCTCAAAAGACATATTCTAAAATCGCTCGAACTATGATGACCAGTATTTTATGTGAACTATTAAATTAATGGATTTCATTGAGTATATTAAACATTCAAAAGTTGTAATTTTGACAAGGTGATAAAAGTAAGATGGTGCACAAAAATGGTGTACATATCATTATTCTTTTTATATAGCTTTCAGGCAATTAAAAAATAAAATGGTACAATTTAGAGAGAGAGAGCTACATTTTGTACGGATTTGGGCAACCTTAGAGCTAGTTAAGACTTCTTCAGGATTGTGTTTTGTTATTCATGGATGTGCATTTATTAAAAGTTCACTAATAAATTCCCCTTCCCCTTTCTAAATTTGGTACATTTCAAAAAAGAGTAATGTTCTATGGATTTAAAAAATAGATTTAAAAATTAAACTTCATAATTAAAATAATTGATTTCACTATAGGTCTCAGCATTTATTGGAACCCGCTATTTATTCAATAGTTAGGATTATCAACTCTAGTTTTTAAATCTAATTTTTAAATTCATCTAACATTCCTCTTCAAAGAAACCCTATTGCATATTAGGGGAAAGGAAGGGAGAATAGAAGGCTCAAGTTCATTAGTCGAAAGAGACTCTTTTTTAGTCTTTTTTCCCTATGTAATTTGAAGATGTACAAAGTGAATTTATGCAAAATCAATTAAGGATGAAGTAAAGAGAGTTCAATACAAACAAATACAAATACTAGGTGACTCAGCCTGTGTGACGTACTTCATTGGAAATGACGAAGTTGACTATATAATCTTATTATTTAAGAGGTGTAGTGTGCTGAAATATGTGTGATGCCTCCTATGTATAAATGAGACTAATAATTTATAGGGGAATATAGTCTTTATGGTGCCCCAGAGCAAGCTTTGATGGAGACGCCATTACGGGGGAGCTCTGATTAAGGTGTCACCCTTGTGATAGAAGTTGGTAACTTCGTGATGTTGGCGTAACGAGCGAAGTGGTTGAGACTTGCGATGCGTACTCTGATTTCCTTCTTAAGATGGAGATCTTACGTGCATCACTAGTAGACTGGGTTTTCCAAAATATTAGACTTGGTCCTTATTGGCTTGTATTTCTGATTTAGATCGAGTTGCACCTATGACTTAGGTCTAATCTGTATTTTTAAATTGGGCCTCTGAACTGAGTCTGGTCTATAATTTTAGACTGGACCTAATAGGCCTGTCATAATTTTTCTCTGATAGACGAGGAAAAAATAAGGTCTTTTATACAATTTTAATTCGCGTGCTAGTTTCTAACAACATGTTTACGTTTTTGTATTTCTTAAAATAACTTTTCTTTCTACACTCATGGGTAATGCTTGGATAAAAAACACACATTGGCGGAAGTGAATGCTATCTACTTCTTGAAGGACCACCACTATTTAATGGATTTAGTCACTTCATTTTGTATGAGAATTTTGTCCGCACATTTTCACTTATAAATTTACTAGCTAATGCCCGTGTCTAAAGATACTACGTAATATAATAAATCATCGATTAGAAAAATTGTCAATTAATCTACCCCCACTAATTTTTTTTAACAAATAGATGGAGTTTCTTCTAAAATAATACCCCATGAAATTCTCAACTTGTATATACAATTTTATATACTCAAATTTATTGGACTACCAATAGTGTATTTCCTTGTACAACCATTTCCCAAACACTTTACCCCAAAACTCTTACATCATTAGAACAACACCACATTCATATTATCCAAACAAAGAGTCAAATCAAACTATACTTCTAAATCTATGCTCCAATGTATGTAATTTAACAACGCTAAGTCAAAAC